TATTCGGGTCCAATTTTATTATTAAAACATAATAACTTCCTCCAAATTTTTAATCCAAAATCGAGGGGGTAGCTTCTGTTCGGTAATATACGGTATATAAAATAATAGGGTGTTTAAACCCTTATAAAAAAATATTTCTATTTAAAACTTTTAAATTTTTTTGTAGTAATTACAACTTCTCTGTAGCCAGATAATTCTACGCATAATAAATCAAATATGATTATTTTTTCTATATACTATTGATATAAATTGTTACGGATGAAGCTTCCAAATCTGGTTGCTGAATTTTAGCTCTAGGCCATAAACGTAAGGGGTACAGTAATCGTAATGGTACAATTGTTTATTTAGTTGTGCGTATGGCGTTTTTAAGATGGCGTGGGATTCAGGACTTTAAAATATATGACCTGAATTGGTTACGTTATCTATCTCTATGTGGATAACTTTATTAATTAGGGTATATACCACTTGTTATTTATTTTGGGTAGAGTAGAATCACGTGATATCTGACGAATCAAATTATAGAATTTTGATGATCATCGACGAAGCAAAACAAGAAATAAAAAAAAAAACCACCTAACCAACCCCAATATAAGATGACCCTAAAGTTAATTCAATAAAATATATATTATAAGAATCTGCTCGCTTTAGACGTCCCCTTATTTTGGCAACAAATACATTTAGAAAAAATTTCATATTATTGCCGCAGTTTATTATTAAAATCCTGTGATACGTAAAAATTTTATTTTTTTAAAATTCTCATTTTATTAAAATTGGTATCGTTATGCTTTACATATCGATATTACAAATTCAATTAACATTGATAGTGGAAATGATAGTGTATTTTCTTCTTGTTATTAGGTTCGATGATTCATAAAATTATGAAAGGTGTATGTAAAATATGATGCCGTTTGATTAGCAAAGGTTTTAAATGTGGTTGTTGGCCTGATAAATGTTGATTTCTTCTAAAATTAGATCTCGTTGGAGTTGGATAAATGTTGAATTACTCGAATCTACGAATAATAGAGTAATTAAAATATATTATGAGTAATAATAAATTAGTGATTAGAATAATTCATACCCGAATCTCATAATATTGCTCTGGCCCATTATTAATTGTAAATATTTCTGCCGCCGTCATTATGTTTGAATCTAAAAAAAAAACAGATCAAATCAACGAATACTATCTTGTTTTATAATTAGATAAGATAAGGCCACACAAAGTCGTTTTTCGTTTCAAATTCCCGGTCAGTCGGTCAGATTTTTTTTCGGTTTACAGTAAATTAATAGACTCATGCTCATGCCTAAGGTCGCAAAAGTTAATTTTTCGCTTTGTATAACATGGAATCGGAAATTGGGTTGGAAGTTAATTTTTTTCTATCAGTTCTATCAGATAATTTCGAGAAAATAAGATCTCTATCAGGTGAAGCGGGAAAAAAAATTAAATGATAAGAATACCTTTACAGTAGAATTCTGTTGATAAAGATAAAAATCCAGTTTGCCGGTAATTATATCATATTACTGTATTTTTTTAATACCTCCACTCGCCCTTTACGAGCTCTCTCATGCTATGTTAAACAGAAAATCAAGTTGGCCTGATCTAAATTGCATTTAAGAAATATGAGTCAATATCTAAGCAGAATTGAAACTAAAAAAAAACTTATGATTTCATTATCGTGGGAGCTGCACTGCCGGATATGTGCTTGCTAGAGAATTGAGTCATGGTATTCCAAATATTAACGTCTTAGTATTGAAACTGGAGGCCCTGATACTTATTCTAAGAGTCTAATTAATTTGTCTTATACTTCTTTTAAGGTGATAAGCATCTACTGCAAAGTCTTTTATAAATAGTGCGATAGTCATTATCTTTTGCATTAATTTACTCATGTCATTTCTGCAGCCTAGGCTTAGGCAAAAGAGTATAATGATTGGGCAGCCCAAGTCCTGAGTACAAAATTTGTGATTGGGATCATTGTCTAGAAGGTATGATTTTATTATTTGATTTAAATAGAATCATTTGAGTTGCTCTTAAAAGCATTTAAAGCGGTAGAAAATAATTCACGAAAGAATCGTAATGAAAAATTCAAAAAAATTTCATGGATTCGATGGTTTACTTCATGTACAAGATAGTCAAAATGGGATTTATGATATTATGTCGGGTTTAATTGATGCTGAAAAAAACCTTGGTATTCCTTATAATGAAGATTTTAATGGCGAGAGACAGAATGGAGTTGGAACTTTTCAGGCGCCTTAATAATAAAATTCTCTAGTTTACATACCAATTTTACTTTGCAATTTTTTTTTAATATGTTGATGATAAATTATAGTTTACAATTAAAGATGGAAAAGATGTTCTTTAGCTGATAGTTTTCTAAAAGATGCATTAAAAAAGTTAAATTATATCCAGATTCGAAAGATGATGGTTTCGGAAAAGTTACGGCAGTAGATGTTGGTCATTTGCTCACATACTAGATATTATTTGGGATTAAGAGAATAAAAAAAGAAAATATTGCAATCGGTGTAAGATATTTATGTAATGGTGTTGTGCATGAGGCTTTCATTGCACCAAAAGGAGAAGTCATTCTTGGTGGTGGCGCTTTTAATAACCCTCAGGTAATGCTTGGATCCGGATATATAACCGGATATCCGGATATGTATTCTCTTTTATATTTTTTAATTCGGATTTATAAACGGATATATATTGCTTATCCGGTTTTTAATCCGGATTATATCCGGATTTCAATTCTAAAAATTTTTA